TTGTGAAAACAGTTTGCTATTCTTTCTTGCGGATATGTTTTCTGCTGTCCTGCAGTGTTCCAGATTCTTCTGCTGTTTGCCCACACATAGGACTCTCAGTAGGCTTTTCCACTGGGCAAGGAGTACATAGCCAAGCTCTACTTATTTCTTTTGATCTGCCTTCTGAGATATTCCACCCAGGGAAGATGCTAGGGTGGAAAAGAACAACATCCTTCTGGACAGCTGTTCCTCTTACACTGTGTCTTTTCTTGACAAAAACCATGAGAAGTATTGTGGAGCAGCACAGACTCTTTCATTAGCTGCGTGGGCTTCCTAACAGAGCAGCTCTTCTCAAAGTTATCACTCATTAAGGTATTGTGAATTGTTAAAAATCAAAGATTTTCAGTGTGGCCAGGGGCTTTATTAGAATGGTCAGCTAAGTTTGTGATCTAAAATCTAGCAGAGCAGTTTTAGGTTAAAAACACTTTTTTGTTTTGAGACAGGTCAAGCTTACCTTCCATCCGTGGTTATGTTTTGATTCTCTATAGATAAATACCGATGAGAGGTCCGAGGTCTTTTGCTGATGTTTTCTTTTTTTAACCCTGACCTCTTGCTGTGTGCCTGGCATTGTGCTGTGTACTCGCTTTTGCATAGTGAGAATTACTTGGGTTCAAAAGATTCTCTAGGATCCGGGTACATTTCTTTCAGAAAAACCAAGTAATGGGGAAAAGAAAATAATTCTTTTATAATTCTTTACTGTAACAGAAGCAGTTACTTTGGTATATTTCAGGTAAGTTTTCCTTGTGCATTTCTTCATGGCTATAAACAAAGTACACATACACTCCTGGTACTTTTTTTTTTTAATTAATTAACTTATTTTTGGCTGCATTGGGTCTTTGTTGCTGCGCGTGGGCTTTCTCCAGTTGTGGCGAGCAGGGGCTACTCTTCATTGCAGTGCGTGGGCTTCTCATTGTGGTGGCTTCTCTTGTTGCAGAGCATGGGCTCTAGGAACGTGGGCTTCAGTAGTTGTGGCTCGTGGGCTCTAGAGCACAGGCTCAATAGTTGTGGTGCATGGGCTTAGTTGCTCGCGGCGTGTGGGGTCTTCCCGGACCAGGGCTCGAACCCATGTCCCCTGCATTGGCAGGCGGATTCTTAACCACTGCGCCACCAGGGAAGCCCCCTGGTCCTTTTTTTTATTCAGTGATACATCATACATTTTCCCACATGGCTGCAGTCTTCATAACCAGTATTTTTTTTTAGATTTTTTTTTTCATATGGACGCTTTTTTTTAAAATTTAAAATGTAACCTTTTATTTATTTATTTTGAATTTTATTTTATTTATTTTTTATACAGCAGGTTCTTGTTAGTTATCTATTTTATACATATTAGTGTAGATGTGTCAATCCCAATCTCCCAATTCATCCCACCACCACCCCCCGCGGCTTTCCCCCCTTGGTGTCCATACGTTTGTTCTCTACATCTTTGTGTCTGTTTCTGCCCTGAAAACTGGTTCATCTGGACCGTTTTTCTAGGTTCCACATACATGTGTTAATATATGATATTTGTTTTTCTCTTTCTGACTTACTTCACTCTGTATGACAGTCTCTAGACCCATCCACGTCTCTACAAATGACCCAATTTCACTCCTTTTTATGGCTGAGTAATACTCCATTGTATATATGTACCACATCTTCTTTATCCATTCGTCTGTCGATGGGCATTTAGGTTGCTTCCATGACCTGGCTATTGTAAATAGTGCTGCAGTGAACATTGGGGTGCATGTGTCTTTTTGAATTACGGTTTTCTCTGCATATATGCCCAGTAGTGGGATTGCTGGGTCATATGGTAATTCTATTTTTAGTTTTTTAAGGAACTTCCATACTGTTCTCCGGAGTGGCTGTATCAATTTACATTCTCACCAACAGTGCAAGAGGGTTCCCTTTTCTCCACACCCTCTCCAGCATTTGTCGTTTGTAGATTTTCTGATGATGCCCATTCTAACTGGTGTGAGGTGATACCTCATTGTAGTTTTGATTTGCATTTCCCTGATGATTAGTGATGTTGAGCAGCTTTTCATGTGCTTCTTGGCTATCTGTATGTCTTCTTTGGAGAAATGTCTATTTAGGTCTTCTGCCCATATTTGGATTGGGTTGTTTGTTTTTTTAATATTGAGCTGCATGAGCTGTTTATATATTTTGGAGATTAATCCTTTGTCTGTTGATGCACGTGCAAATATTTTCTCTCATTCTGAGGGTTGTCTTTCCGTCTTGTTCGTAGTTTCCTTTGCTCTGCAAAAGCTTTTAAGTTTCATTAGGTCCCATTTATTTTTGTTTTTATTTCCATTACTCTAGGAGCTGAATCAAAAAATATCTTGCTGTGATTTATGTCAAAGAGTGTTCTTCCTATGTTTTCCTCTAAGAGTTTCATAGTGTCCGGTCTTACATTTAGGTCTCTAATCCATTTTGAGTTTATTTTTGTGTATGGTATTAGGGAGTGTTCTAATTTCATTCTTTTACATGTAGCTGTCCAGGTTTCCCAGCACCACTTATTGAAGAGACTGTCTTTTCTCCACTGTATATCCTTGCCTCCGTTGTCATAGACTAGTTAACCATAGGTGCGTGGGTTTATCTCTGGGCTTTCTATCCTGTTCCATTGATCTATATTTCTGTTTTTGCGCCAATACCATATTGTCTTGATTACCGTAGCTTTGTAGTGTAGTCTGAAGTCAGGGAGTCTGATTCCTCCAGCTCTTTTTTTTTTCCCTCAAGACTGCTTTGGCTATTTGGGGTCTTTTGTGTCTCCATACAAATTTTAAGATTTTTTGTTCTGGTTCTGTAAAAAATGCCCATAACCAGTGTTTTTAATGACTGTGTTATAATCCAGTGTGGATGTCACAGTTACCTAATTATTCCCCTATGTTAGGCAGTATCTAGTTTTTTCTATTGTAAGCACTGTTGTAATGAATGGTACAGTTTTTCCTTTTGCCAGTAGGATGGGTTCTCAGTATAATTACTAAGTCAAAGGGCATGAACATTTTAGTGGTTGATAAATATTGCTAATGTGCTTTCCAAGAGAGGAATACCAATTTGTGTGTTCGGGTGCTGTCTTTTGTTTATATTCTAATTGGCCATGTTTCTGATTGCTATTCTTTCCTCCCGTGTGTTCAGATTTAAACCTCTTCCTATACATTATCTATCCCAGTGCTGTCCAATAGAATTTTCTGCAATGATAGAAATATTCTGTAATCTTCTCTGTCCAGTACTGTATCCACAAGCCGCATGTGACCATTGAGCATTTGAAGTGTGGTTAGTGTGACTGAGGAACAGAATTTTTTTTTTTTTTTTTTTCTCCTGGCCGCACCACTCGGCTTGCGGGATCTTAGTCCCCCACCCAGGGATTGAACCCAGGCCCCTGCAGTGGAAGCTTGGAGTCCTAACCACTGGACCACCAGGGAGTTCCCTGAGGAACAGAATTTTTAATTGAATTTAAACCTAAACAGCACATGTGGCCAGTGGGATGGCAGAGCTCTAAAGCCCTTTTATACCGTGGGCGTGTCTACTTTTCACTCTTGTACCTGGTTGAATTTGCCTCCTTGCACGCTGCTTCCTGACCCCAGCTGGAGTAGTTTTTTTTACCTAAACTTGGCCTTCTGGACTAGTTAGGGACAGCAAGCACACTTGCTTTTTTCACAAGTAATGTCCGTGTACTCAGGGATCTCACTGCTTCCCTTTTGTTTAATACAACAGTGTGAAGACTAACTGGTTTACTGTCCTGCCTAATGTGTGCATTCCTAAATAATGTCATCCTTCTTAGTCAGACCATGTACTTTCGTCTCCCTTTAGTTGGTTGCTTTTCTATTATTAATAGTTTTAGCTTTTCAGCCAAATATCTGATACTGGTGTATGTTCTGTTTAGCAGGGATGGTAAGAGAAGGCCAGCTAAATGGCTCATCGACAGCACACAGTGAAATGAGAGGTATACTGTTTCCTGTTCTACTATTTGTCAGTTTGTCAGCAGAAAATGCTTTCCCGGAACTTAGTTAAGACCTTGGAGAACCTCTCCTACCTGTGAGAGTCTGTATTTTCCCACCAAGTCTGTTACAAGTTTCCTAGTATCTTGTGTCTTGTCTTCTGAAGGGTTAAGCTTGACTTAAAATTCTGCAGCTTTAGATGTGTAAACCTGTTTTGTGAAACTTCACTTAACTCTCTCCCTTTGTCTCTCTCCACAGACCGTAGTACATGAGAGGGCTAGAGGAATCACCACCATTAGACCAAGCTGTAAGGGCCTACCGTGGACAGTGTTTAACAAGTAAACTCACAAGAACCCAAAACAGCTCCTAGGAAGTACCAGAACGCAGAGGTTGAAGGCCGGGGTTAGCGGGCGGGTGTCGCAGCTTTCACCCCTTCGTGCCGTGCCGGCTGCTTCCTGATCCTCTGCGGCCTGTTCCAGTTCAATACCCAAGTGACAAGGGACCCGGAGGTCGCCCTGCCCCACCCCCAGGCTGGACAGGCCTGTGTCCACACAGCAGATCCACGGGACATCTCTACCGACCGTGGCCACAGCTCTGCGTGAAGGACTCGGGATTTAGATGCCACGGGATCGCCGCGGCCCTTGTTGCAGTTTTGTACTCTATACTTGGTTTTTCAATTAAGCTTAATGGCTTTTTTAAAACATGGCTTGAAGCTCTAGTTTTCTAGATCTTTTACAGTGTACAGTCTTTTACATAATTGAGCTGTATTAAAAGCTTGTTCATTTACTTCCCAGGGCCCCAGCTCTACTTTGAGTCACTTTAGAAAACTCCTAACCTGCAAAGATACAAGCCGAATTTAAATTTTAGAAGTTCTCTTCTTTCACCTTGGGGGAAGGTGATCTCATTCTTGGGCCAACTACTTATTTCTCCCTGATTCCTCAGCATTATCAATTCCTGTTTCCCTTCTTACCATAAATCCTAGAACTACAGTTAGTGTGATGTAGGATTTTAGTTTTGAATCCTCCTGTAAAATAACTCCAAGACCTAAAAGGCAATTTATTTATGAAATTTATTTTCTTATATAAATTATGTATTTCTCTGGGCAGACAGCCGTCACCTTATTGCACTAATAGCACATCTGTAACCCCAAGCTACAGGACAGGTCTTAACAAGGTCTGTATTCAACGTAGCGCTTGTCTACCAGGCACTGTAGAGGATGAGGAAACGCCAGGATCCAGCCCAGGGGAAGAGGGGGAGGGGGCAGTGTGTCTCCCCTTCTGACAGCTGGTTTTCTCCCGGGAAGGGGAACATGCAAAGGTATGTCTGGATTCTGGAAGTGGGAGGAGATCTTGGAGGCCGAGAAGCCCAGTGCAGCACTGCAGCTCGGCTCCCTTCATCTCTGAGGGAAGCAGCGACTCCTCTTTCGCTCATCTCTAACACATCACTGTGGCCTAGCTGATGCTTTGGGGAAACGGGGCCAGGGGTCATCCTGGAATCAGCAGCAATTAAGAACAGGCCATACACTGCCACAGTGTGGGGGTGTCGTCCTGGCCCCAGGGACCTGAAAGCTGTGTATATCCTAGGGGGAGGTGCCACTCAAGACCCAGAGCTGGCTCTGGAAGCTCTTTATCTAATGGAGCTGGGGATGATGCTCGGACGTCCCCATGACCACACTTAACTAGCAAAGCTCTGGTGCTGGATCTTCTAACCATTGGTCAAAGCTGTAATGAGACCGAGTCTGTAGGCAGAGTGAAGGGATGCCTGTGTGAGTAGGAAGGGGGAGGAGCATGGGGCTGGGGGCGGGTAATGGGCAGTGACTGACTGTAACATGATTAGGCCCTCCTTGCAGAGGGAGGCTGGGCTGAACAGGGAGTGGGGTTAGGAGGGGCTGCAAGCCCTCGCCTGGAGCTCCCCTCACTCTGCCTTTGAACTACACTGAAGGCAAGTTGCTCACGTACTCTAAAGCACATTCTTGATACAGGGATGGGGGCTTTGGGGGGAAGCGGTGATTTGGTATTGGCCAAGAGCCACATTAAGCCTTCATGAGGGCAGCCACCACGGCCTTGGCGTTGAGACTGCGTAGGTCACAGTAGGTCTGGCCGGTGCCCACAAAGACGATGGGTTTGCTTGTGATGTAGGTCATAGAAATAGCAGCTCCCACCTGAAGCAGAGAAAGGGGATACCCAGTCAACTCCAGGCCACTCCTTTTCACCCCCTAAGCAACAGGAGGCTTTGGAGCCAGTGTGCCCTTAGAGCCTCTGCTCCCTTGTGAAGGATGGCCATTCCCCTCTCCCAGTCCCACTCTGCCCTGTGTCGTCCATATTTACCTTGTCATCGATGGTATCAAATTTGGTAAGGACAATGCCATCAATGAGCCGAGGCGTCTGGGCCATAGAATGGTCAGCCAAGGCCCTGTTGAACTTGACCTGGAAAGGAGGAACATGACGTTAAGTATAAGATGCACCTAAAGTGGCCAAAGCTGAGGTTGGAAAGAGAACCAAGCCCTAGCCCTCACCAGCTGGTCCACGGCCTCATTGCCTACTAAGGCCTCCCCCACAAACAGCACCAAGTCGGGTGTGTTGACAGTAATGAGCTTGGCCAGGGCAGTCATCAGAGGGGCATTGTCCTGCATGCGGCCAGCTGTGTCCACCAGCACCACATCAAAGCCTTGGTTACGTGCTAGAGAAAAAAAAAGTGGTCAAGTCAAAACTCCTGGGCTGTCACGTTTCCAGCTTTCCTCTCAGGAAGTCCCAAACTGGCCATATTAGAAGTCTACCTGTTTATTTCCTTAGGTTACAAGGTAGTGTAAGAAAAAATTCCCATAGTCAGCCATCAAGCATATTTAGGAAAAGGATGGCGGTAGGTAAAGGTGACCAAATAGAGATAAACAAATATACTAGGTTTGCCTGCAACTACACTTGTTACCCCAAAGCAGAGCACGGCATGTCACTAATCTGACCTGTTACTGCGCAGAAAGTTGGTGGTAGGGTAACCCTGGTCCTCTGCAAGTTCCAAGAGAACCCAAGGAGAAAAGGGGCCCAGAGAAGCCCCCCAGCTTTCTGTGCACTGTACCAAAGGCAATGGCTTCCATGGCGATGCCAGCAGCATCCTTGCCGTAGCCCTTCTCAAACAACTGCACCATGGCGCGGCCACCGTGATTCTCGGGGGGGTGCAGGGCGCGCAAACGTCGGGTGTGTGTCCGCAGCTGCTCCACAGCCCCAGCACGGAATGTATCACAGGCAGCAATGAGGACACTGAAGCCATTCTCTAACAGCCAGAAGGAAATCTGCAAAAGAGGCAAAGAAAACTGTCACCTAGACCCAGAGGTACCAGGAAATGCAGAGTGAAGAAATGATGTCAGAGACGGGCTGCGGAACTGCACCGACCTTGGCAAGGTTAGTAGACTTCCCCACGCCATTCACGCCACAGAAGGTGACCACGTAAGGGCGCTGATGACGCTGGGCATCCATGATATCCCGGAGCATGTCCACACGGCGCTGTGGCTGCAGAATCTGCACCAGGGACTCTTGGAGAGCTAGCTTTACGGTGGAAGTCACCGCTGAGGTGGGTGGAGAGGTATTATCAGTGAAGCCCAAGTAATGTGCTCCAGGAATGCACAGCCC